TATCCCCTGTGTGCCTTGTCGACTCAGTTATATTATATATATATATATACACATATTACGTTGATAATGTTAGATAACATAAATGTACGTTGAATTCAAGTGTGTTATCTTAGAGAAGTGACTTTTTACCTTGCTGTATAAACAAATAAAGAGAGAAACATGAATTTGTAATAAAAGTTTTCTGACACTGCGAACGGTGTGAATGATACAACTCTACATTTGAGCATACTACAATTTCGTTTCGTAACATCTCGTATACGTGTATCATGTATAAAGTTATACATGAATAAAGCGTGAAAACATAAAGTTGTAGTATGTTACGTTTGTCTCTTGTTTCAGCACGCTTCGAATACACCACGCGCGCGATTTTGCCGCAGATTTTGCCGATTATCGATATCCCAACGCGAGCAGCAGACGGATCGGAATTGACGAGTCATTCGCATAATTTATGAAAAATTCTGCGCCTTTATTTCAAATGTGATAATCCATGTACAGAAAAGGAGAGAAAAACTCATCGCTACATAATTATACATAAGTATATACAATTACATATAAACGGGCGTGTGTGATTTTCAAGGCCTTTTTCTTTCGAGAGGTGTCGAAACGGTTTGCACTCTTTTGCGCGCTAAACGTGAACACGATTATCGCAGTGCTGTCTGTATCATTATTAGGACTAATTTACACGTACGAATTACGTATCCGTATTTATCGTAATTTACGCAATTTTATATTTGTTTTTTTTTTTCGTTCGAGCCGGCGTTTTCATTACTCCGGCACATTTTACGCGCGCGTCCGAACCATTAAAATCGCACCATTGTCACGTTACGCCAGAACGGACGCGTTACGGATTCTCCACACGAGGACAGTTGATCCTTAGCGCACTTACCCCTCGCGCATACCGAGCTATTTTGTAATGTACGGGTAAATGAAGAGAGAGAAATACACAGGTGTAATTGAAAGTATTGATTTGTCGACTCGTTCCTTTTTATTTTTCGCGCGAACCACCGTCTCGCAAACGAGACTCAGTACACGTCGCGCGCGCGTATATAGATTCCCTGCAAGAAAAAACATTTGCGTAAAGTGACTGTTTGTCAGCTGTTAAAACTTACCTGGCACATTGTCACATTTTGGGACAGACGTTTTCTCGATCGTGATCTGAAAATAATCAATAATATTCACATTGTATCTATGCCCCAGTGTAGTAAAAAAAAATTCCTTATACGATAAATCTATATATAAATATATGTCTATCTCATTCTATCTCGTGAGAAAAAAAGCTTCTCGCGTCTTCACGTGACAAGAGATATTGAACGGTTACACTGTACCGAGTCGCATAAATATATCATAAAGGCAAAAGAGTAAAACGCCCCTAAATAATCGACGGAACTGTTAATGTGCGAAAAAGACACGAGCCGACCGATTCTCGAGGAATAATTGTAACAGTGAACGACAACTCTCGTATCATCGTAGCGAAGCCCTAACGTTATGTCAATAACAAAAAAAATATATACATATATACACCACATCTCCTTGAACATGTGGGAATTTAAATATCAGGCGTTGTTGAACGAAAGGGAGGATCGGTCGCTAAGAATGCGCAAACGTGCGCGTATTTTTTTCCATCGCAGGTGGAACGACGAGCACTTATCATAAAAAGTACATTAATAAAATTCTAGAAAAAAACTCGCAAAGTTCCGCATACGAATCCGCATACAAATCGACGGAGTCTATTTTGTACACAAAGCGAGTACTTCGGAATGATATATATATATATAAAATCATCGTCCTTCGTTTACAGTTTCTACACACACACACCACGTTACTGGATCTCGACCACCACGCTTAAAGACGACGAAAAATCATCCCGTGTTAATCGTGTCCCTTTCTCGGTCACCCTTCTATAAAAAAGTCCATCAATGCGTCTCAATCTCATCGACAGTAAAGATACGGCTAAAAAAACTATTGGAGATGAAGAATACACACTTCGTGACAGCGTCACGCACAGACAGAGAGCACCGTGAGCGTTGTAAAATTCTCGCTATTAAATGACAGAAACAAGTAAAATTGCGCTAATCAGGGTCAGATAATCGCCTCGATCGGCTCTCTCTCTCTCTCTCTTCTCGGGACCGTCTTCGGGAGAGAATCGGGGAAGAAAATCATCTGAAAAATAGTATCTCACCTGCGAGCGTGAACGAGCACCTTCCTCTCCAGATTACTGCGCAGATTACTGACGTCCCAATTGTACAGAAGATAATCGGAGGAGTGATATATCTGTATTTTTTAAGATCGCAATCAATAAGCGAATGGACTCGTATTTCCGCTTAAATGCAACGTGTTTACAGGACAGTCAAAAACCAGTTGATTAAAAACCATTTAAACCATTTTAATAACCATTTAAACGCGTTGCATGCTAAACTCACTTGACAAGATCCATCCGAACCGAGACAAGAGTGGTCGCTTAAAAAAAAAAAGATAATAAAAATTTCACACAACAGCACAGAAATAAAACACAACGACCAACATAGTTTTTTTTTTTATAGTCAAAACGGATTTGGAGTTTATTCAATCACTATTATGAGATTAGTGGTTACAAGGTGTCATACAATAGAATGTTCCTCGAGATCTACATGGCGAGAGGAGAGTTATGTTTACCAAAAAATATTTCGGTAGCACCGAATGTGCAATTCGTCCGGAAATCGATTCAAGTCTTGTCCGCGTAAGGTGTTTTTACGAGGGAACAGAAATATTAAAAGACGCTTATTTTCGATGTCGATTCGAGAGTGAGAGAGACAGGCTCGATTTACTTTTTGGTAAACATACTACGGTGCATAAAACGCAGAATTTAGCCGAAAATCTAGATCGTCCGATGTTCGCCGAACGTTCTCGAAGCCGAAGTTCGAGTGAACTGAGAGGGGATCTCTTCCTAAAAGGTGGCGGACTACAGCAAATTTTTTTTTCGTAAATGCTTCATTTAGGTCATTAAAGTCACTTTTACAAAGATGCAACACGGTGTGCACGTATGGTACGGCGAAAAGTAAAAAAAAGTCAATAATAATAAACGACGTGAATACCGCGTAGAAATCGTGGCGACGAAGCGCTGTCCCCTGTCAAACACCACCACACGTGTGCTTTTCTTTCTTTTTACGCATAAGAAAGTGCGAACGATGCGACGAGAAATTCCAACACATATAATCCACGATCTGCATAAAGTAAAGATTTTTAAACGAGCGTAGCCTCGATCAAGCCGCAAACCGGAAATCTAATTCGAGCGAGTAACGATTTTACAACGTTAAAAAGTGTGTGTTTTCATGAACGAAAGATTAATCTCTAATCCCATGGTGGACCCGGCTGCGAGTGCGAGCAGAGTGCGTCACGTGTTATGGATCGGAATGATGGAGAAAACCGATCGATCTCTCATCATGATAACTAAGAAGTAAAGACTTACAGACTATACAGAATCGCTAATTACTGTAAATAACCTGTAAAATAGTGAATAGCCTACACACTGAAAAAAGAAACTTGCCGGCTTACAGTAAGACCGCCATCAGCGAAAACCCATTACATAAGCCTAAACAAACTAAACTAGATAGTCACGATCGCTAGAAAAAAAAAACTGATTTTAAGAAGTAGAACAATTAGTAGACGTCCGTTGTAAAAAGGATCGATAATTCCGGTGTGAATAAACAATACAGAATTGTGTGAAAATTTGAGAGGGGATAAAGAGAAAGAGAGAGGGTGTGGAGAGAGTGTACGTCTCAGTGGCCGGACCACACGACCGTTTTCAACGTTGAGTAGCCATCATACGAACACGACTTGCTGATTCTTCCAAAGACAGACAGACTTCTCACTCACTGTCCTAAGTTCTGCCAGACAACTAGGATGAATTTCGAGTATTGTCATCAGGAGTGGAATCCTGCAGACGACACACAAACACCCAGCTTCCTCACGCTGCGTCAATAAGTTATGGTTAAGCATCGGATTACGCGGCGGACATAATCTTTTCCATTAACGTTACCTTGAATCCCTCGAGGCTATCCTTCGGCTCTTAATAGAGGCGCACGTCGATCGTTCTCCCGTCGATACGCGATCGATTCATCATAGCTAATTGTGATTGTTAAGGAAAACACGTTTGTACAATTTTTTTTCTCTATGCAATTACGAATAAAGCAATAAAATTACAGATATCATAGATGATCGTTATATGTAAATTGACTGTCTCTCCATTTTCTTTGTATTACATATTTCGTAGTCAACAATCCAAAGAAATAAAAGGAAAAAAAAAAGAGAAAAAACCGGTTAGATTCTCAATTGTTTTTCTAACAAATGTCTGTTCTGCTTGTGCTTTAAAAAGGATACTCACAGCACGCTCGGCATCCCATTCAGATGCGAACCGTACCATACCCATGTCGGAACTTCTCATCTCAGCGAATTTCACTTCTCCAACGTCTTGGAACTTGTCACGCAACATCTGCCATGTGGTGTTCGGAGGTAGCTGTAACAAGAATTGTAATTAAATGTTAAGCCACCAAAGAAAAAAATGGAAAGAAATATAATAGAAACGAAGGTACGTACGTTGCCGATGAGAATGGTATCTGACATCTGTCTCGAGCCGTTGGAGTTCTGCCGATTGCCGCCACCGCTCTGACCTTGATTGCCAGAGAATCCGCCGCCACCGCCGGAAACGCGATCGCCGTCCCCTCTGTTGAAGCCTCCGTCGAAATCTCTACCACCGCCGCCGAAATTGGAGCCGCCGAAGGCGTTGTTACCGCCAAATCCTATGTCGTTATCCAACTTGGACAATCCGCGCGGCGTGAACGTGTTGTTCCCCTGTCCGCCGGCCAAAGAAGCCTGCAAACTGCTCAAGCTGCCGACGCCGCCGCCGAAGTTATTCAAGTTGGACGCTAATTCACTTGTCAACGACGAATTCAGCAGGGAGCTGGTGGTGAGATTGGCACCCAAGCCCGCGCCGGCAAGGCTAGCCTGAAGGGCTGCTGCATTCGTGTTCGATAATGCCGATGCTGCGAACAGACGGGACAAAATCATTTATTTAACGGTTTTTTTTCTTTTCTAATTTATTTACGAAGAACTGGACTCTCACCCAATTGCGCGGGCACAACGTTGTTGAGACCGGCGCCGAAAGCGCCCGCTGCCAAGACAGGCGCCGAGATCGGATTCACCACCGGCGGATTGTTCGCCTGTACATTGGGAATATTTCTGGCAACGTCCAACAGTCTGTTACCACCGGCTCCAAGTCCCATGCCGATACCCTTTAAACCTGATTTAAAAAGTAAATTCGTTTACAAAAGTCCACCGGTCGCGCACTGATTAATATGTAAGTTACCTTCTGGTAATTTAGGCGGCATGTCCGGCTCATTAGCTCTGTCGAGTCTGACGGTCATGCGCCTGTCGTACAACTGCTGATTGTGGAGCATCGAAATGGCCTGTACCGATTCCACCGGATGATCGTACTCCACGACACCGAAACCCCGTGATTTACCGTCCTTGTCTTTCCCCAGCTCGACGTGCAACACCTTCCCAGCCAGTTTGAAAACTTCAAGCAGCTTCTTCTCGTCGACTTTGTAATCCAGCTGAATAAACATGTAGATAGATTGCATATCTTTCCGTTGCACGAGCGTTGCTTATCTAACGTATACTCGTGCTGCATACTAACGTTTGCGACGAAGACCCTTGTGACCAGAGGACCATTGATACCTAAAGATTCTAAGAATTGCGTACTAAGACCGTAGGTGTTTCCAAATTTATTGTCTCCACCTCCGCCGCCGCCACCGCCGCCACCACCGCCGCCGCCGCCGCCACCTCCGCCACCGCCGCCACCGCCTCCCGCGCCGCTGGGCGCGGACATATTTTGCCTTCCGCCTCCCTGCGGCCTCGGTGGATCTCTGAATCTGTCGTCTCGATTTCTATCATTGTTGCGACCTGTCGCTAGGCGGCCGTATTTGTCACGTTCTACGTCAAAGTCCTGTAAAAGTAGGCACATGGAGTAAAAATACATTTGGCAAAAATTCTAACGACGCAAATAACGATTCATTCTTTGTTAAATTATTATTCTATTAAAGTTATACTGTAGGGCGAGCGCGAGATATAGGTATAATACTTATAATAGTACTGACGGCTGATTAACAGTAAGATTAATCGTAATAAATAAAGATGCCGAGTGCGAAAGATACGTGAGTCAGCGAGATTTGATCGAGCGAACAGAAGCTATAACAGGTGTCTTCAAATAAAGACAAATATTGATAACAGAAGTGTCTCTCGAGTCAATGGATCTTACTTAGCGCGTCCGCAAATGAGCAATATCCAAGACAATCTTCTCGCTTACCTCTTTGACAACGAGCTTCCTCCCTTTGATGTCGTACCGATGCATCTTCTCCACCGCTATCTTCACCGAGTCCGAGTCCTCGAACTCCACAATCCCGCATCCCCTCGGCTTGTCGTTCTCGTCCGTGAAGAGCTCCACGTGCGCCACCTTGCCGACCTCGGTCCTGAACAGATCCTTGAGATCCTGCCAGCGAAAGTCGTAAGGAATGTTCGACACGTAGATCCGCCGGTCGGAGGCCTTCCTGCCGACGCGATCGTTTCTCTCCCTGCTGCGGTCGCGACTGGCCGAGTTTATGCGGTTCGGCCTGTCCGACCGTCGATTGCGGTCGCGCTCCCTGCTCCGGTCTCTGTCGTCATTGTTCTGTGCGTGATTGCTGGAAAATTGCGATGTAATACGTATACATACGATACATGCGCGGGGAGGGGACAGCGATACCGTGGAACATCGTACATCGAGATGTAAACATTACACATAACCTATGTGCCATGGGCGCGCGAATGTAGGAAAAAAAAGGTGAGTCATGTATATGCCAAAAGAAATATACGAGCGAAAGGTTGAGAGGACCAGGGCAGAAATATGCGGTACACTCGCGGCGACACGCTCGCACGATCGCAACGCTGAAAAGTATACCGAGCGGATTGGGGATCCGCCGTGTCGGTTCCCTTCGCCGCATCGCGCCGGAGTCGCCGCGGGACATCTGCATTCGGCATCGTTTCGCGTCGCGTTACATCGCTCTCGCGACTTACGACTCCGCGACAATCGTCACAACGGACGATTAATGAGAGAGAGAGCTTCCCCCTCTCGCGCCGATCAATTCGCGGGGAGCGCGCACGAGACAGCACTACTTACTCCTCCGTCTTGATCATCTCCGCTTTGATCATATCCCCGTGCACGGTCGGAAGCCACTGAACCGAGCTCTCGCCGGAGCTAAGCCCCGAGATACGCGATCTTACGAGCTAGCCGTTAAAAGGTACATCCGAGTGTTACACCGAGCGTCGTGTAAAATGGCCGTCGCCGGAAGCGGCGCGAGCGGCCGCCGGATCTCACCGCGCTCGTCAAAGGTCGTCAACATCGCGAAACCCGCTGTTTTTCTTTTTTTCACGGCGAGCCCGCGAGAAACGATTTTCGTCGATTTTCCGAGAGCGAATGCTCGAGCCTTTGCAATTGTAAAGTGGAGTGTTGCTGCGCATAAAATACTCGCGCTTGCAGCGAGTAGGAGACGCGAGACGCGCTCTCCACGATGTGTCTTGATAACGCCGGCCGATAATGAAAATAAAAAAGAAATGCGAACGGGCCAATTGTTCGGGGACTGCGCCGCAGTGGGCGGTAACTACGAAACTCGTAGTTACGCGATATTTATGTATACGATTGCAGTACGATGTAATTGCGATATTACAATAAATTAGGATATTGATTTGTCAAGCGATATGTGTATTTAAAATTATGTTTTTTAATGCATAAAAAAAATATTAGATCAGGGACAACGAATTGTAGTTAGAAATGCTTGAAATAATTTCACTGGCCGTTAGATTAGTTGTTGTTTGAATAATAAATTAATCGGAGTTCAATC